CCTGCGCCTGCGCCTGCGCCAGCTGCAGGCGCCGGCTGGTCTCCAGGAGCGTGTGCTCCACGCGCGGGTTGCGCGCCGGTAAGCGCGGCGACAGCAGGAGCCCCGAGGACGCGCCCGGGGAGAGTGCGCCCGGCGCTCCTGCGTCGTCACTGGCCAGGGACTCGCTGGATGTCCAGGCGCCTGGGCTGCGCACGCCTGCCAGGCCGGTCCTGGACGCCCGGGGGCGGCGAGCAGACGGGAGCCCCGGGGTGCGGCGGGCTGCAGGGCCGCGCTCCAGCTCCTCGATGTACTTGAGGAAATCCAGATCCAGGTGGAAGCCGTAGGGAGTCTCCACTGTGTAGGGCGAGCTCGGGCTTCGGGCGCCCTGGATCGGACCCGGGCACAGATGAGGGCTGCCCAGGTCTGTGGGCATGATGGGGGCATGGGAGGCGGTCAGACTGGGAGACCCAGAGAGCCCGGATGTAGAAGGCACCCCACCTGCCCTCAATACACCAGATGGCTCCCCAAACTCGGCACGCCTGCCCCTGCGCACACCCCTGGCGCTCAAGCCCATCCTACCCAAATAGTCGCTCTGTGAGCTGGGTCCTGGGGGCCGCCTATGTGCCAAGCATTTTCTAGGCACCAGGGACACAGCAAGGGACACAAACACCCCTGCCCTCTTGCAGAGGGTAAATAAACATGCTCATTCCAGGCAGGGTAATTATCGGAAGGAGATAAGGGAAGATTATAACCGGAGAAGGCTGGGTTCCTCGGAGGGGACTTCAAGTTGGCTGAGGAGGAGGAAGGCACCAGGAGAGAAGCTCCCTCAAAGACAACAGTTTCCATGCAAAGGCCCCAGTTAGCAGTGGGGGGCAGGGTGCCCCAAGCAGCAGTGGGGAGAGGTTGGAGACCACAGTGGGGAGACCTACCAGCTGTCCTGCCAGGAGGTGGGGCACCACACACGGGTTTTAAACAAGGCCGTGACGTTAGTCACTGGCCGTTTGGAAAGAAGAGAATTGCCAGCGGGTCCCCACAAAGGCGCCCAGTGAGGATCTGTGCACATATGTATCCCATTTTGCACACTCACCAGACAGATTCTGATTCAGGGCAAACTTGGCCATGATTCCTGGAGTAAGCGCCAGACACCCTGGAAAATGTCCCCAGAGAGAGTGAGGGGGGGGCAGGCCTGTCCCTGTGATTGTACCTCTGGGGATTGGCCTGAACTCCCAATGAATGAATAAACAGGCCCCAAAGCTCCTGTCCCTTTCCCCCGACACACATGCCCAGCCCTTCCTCCTCCCTCAAAAGACCTTGAAGGCCCTCCCTGGTGGCACAGGGGTTACGATGCTATGGTGCTATGGGCAGCCACTGCAGCACGAGTTCCATCCCCGGCAAGGGAGCAGACCTGGCATCTGTGGGTTTGAGACAGCAGACCTCTCCTGTGTCCCCGCTGCTCCCCTCAGCAGTGTATTTTGTCCATCTGCCTGTTCTGCTCCCCACTCTGTCTCTGGTGAAGCCTCTCACCCCCACACCTCTGGTACCTCCGTTCTTGTATGCATAAGTAAATCTTTAAAAAATAAAAAGAATCTCTTGATTTTTTCATCTTATAGAAATGCAAACAAGATATCATTTGTGGCCTGAATTTTTATCCAGGTCACTGGCAAGGGCCTTGTGGGAATGGAGAGCTGCAAACCCACAGATGCCTGTCTCCCTGGGGCCCACGGTGAGGTGACCGCTCTGCCCTCAGCCTGGGGCGCCTGCAGTGGCATCACAAGCACCCAGCTCGCCAGAGCCCGGCCACGCGCGGGCAGGGGGAGGAGGGACTCCTGCAGGCTGGGGTGGGGCCACATCTAATAATGGAGGACATTTATCAAGGACAAATGCTGTGTCCGGAGCTCCAAAACTGGGATCCTGAAAAGCACAGGTGGCAAAGACCGGCTTTGAGTGGCCCTCGCGGAACACGTTCAGAGAGGGCAAGCGGCCGGGCCCGCTGTATAGCCCGCGGCCTCGGAGATGCCACACAGTCCTGCCAGTGGGTGCCGCCACCCCCAGCCTCCAGCGGGAGAAACGAAGGCACAAAGCAATTGCATCACGTGCCTGTGGGGAACACCCTCGACTGAACCCCGCTCGCCTTCGGGGGCCCCGCTTGCCCAGTGCTCCGGCTGGTGCTGCCAGTGCCAGGCCTGCTCTCCTGGCTCACAGCGCATTTGTGCCAAGCACCTGGACGCCTTCGCGAGTCACGCTTCGGCCCTCTTGCGCCTTGGTGGCCCTGCGGCCTGACCCCCACAGCAGTTGGGCACCCACCAACCGCACACGGCTGCTGTGCTGGGCTCCACCCCGCCCCTCCGTGTGGCCACCCCACCTCTCCGGGACTGCAGGGCCTCGGTCCGCAGCTGTTTCCCATCTCCCCACACCGGGGAGCAGGGCGGGCCTGCAGGCCAGCAGGGCACCGCAGAGGACGGCCAGTGCCTCTCATGACTTGTTTTCAGGAAATGGTCAGGGAGGAACCAGGTGGTGGAAAAATCCTGGGCCCGGGCTTAGGGGGTCTAGGCCCGCCTCCCACACGTTGGCTGTGTGACTCAGGGGGTCAGCGCCTCCCCAAAGCCAGGTCCCGGGAACACAAGCCAGGGCTGATGGCCGCCTGAAGACCCAAGCCAGTGGCGGCGCAGCCCCCCCAGAGGTGGGCTGGCCGGGAACCGCAGCTCCCAGCAGCCGCATGTGGGGGCCGTTCACCCCGCCAGCCTCAGTTCTAAGCAAGTTACTGATAGCAACTTCTTGAATCCGCGTGAAATCGTCCGACACCCGTTTTCTTATATCAGTGTCCTTGCCTCCGTTGAAAGGATGGAGAAACAGCGCCGAGGATGCGCCCGAATATGCGCCTGCACCAGGCCAGCGGGGCTGAGGCAGCATTTGAACTCAGGTGGGCTGTGGCCTGCACGTGGCCTGCGCTCACACCCTGGCCAGACAGCCTCTGGAAGCCGCGGGCCCCTCCCAGGCGCCGCTGCCTGTCCCGGCGCGCATCCTTAATGGGGGCGGCAGGCCCCTCACCCCTGGCCCGCGACACTGGGCGCAGCCCCACCAGCGAGCGGCAGCGCCAATGCCTCTGCTCCCAGTCGCTGTCACGCTAGATCTGATCGCCTGCGAGACCCATTCATTAGGCCGTCAGAGCCCACGCCGCACGCCCCCACTCCCGCCCAGGGACTATTTCGGGATCGGAGCTAAGATGACAGAAACTGAAGGGTGGGGAACCCGAGCAGACCGCGCGGCCCGGCCTGGGGAGGGGGCGTCTGCCCGGCGTCACACACGGGCAGGGCGGGGCGGGGCTCCGAGGCCCTAAGCGGGGTGAAGGCTGACGACGGCGGGAGGGGTCAGGTCAGCACCCGCCACCCTAACGCGCTCGCCCGCCCCAAACCGCCCCAGGACAGCCTCGCGCAAAGACAGCGCAGTTTCCTGCAGGAAACGCCGCGGGGCGGTTCCATCCGCTCCCCATTGTCCGCGGGCCGGGGGCAGCCCGTTCCTCCCCGCAACCCCGTTTCCGCAACACCCCCTCCCATACACACACCCAAGTCCAGCGCAAGGGGCTGGACCCGGCTCCCCAAGTTCTCCAGGAGTAAGCTGGGGAAGGTTTCTGGAGTCGGTTGGGGCGCTAGGGGGCGAGCAAACCCCCGCTTGGCTCCTGAAGGGCGAGAGGAGGGCGACCTCCCAAATCCACAGTCCCCCACTCTTCTCGCTACCCACCTGGAGCTCCCAGGGAGCAAGGGGGTTCCAGCCAGAGGGCATGGCGCGCCCCCCCCGCCCCGTCACAGCGCGTTGAGCCCGGGGACGGGCTGGAAACGCAGCGCCCCGTCCCGCTGCGCCCCCAGACCCGCCACCCCGGACCCCCAGCGGGGGCCGGGAGGCCGGTGCTTTACCTGGAGTCGCAGCCGCAGCTCGCTCCCGCACGCGAGCCCGCCCCCTCGGCGCTCGGGAAAGTTATCAGGCTTCGGGCTAAGTGACGGCCGCGCCAGCCAACCAGCGCCCGAGGCCTGCGAGCTGCCCAATGGTCAGGCGGGGTGGGCCGGGCTGGCGGGGCGCCGGGACGGGGCTGGGGTTGGGGCGCTGGTCCCTAAGGATGGGCCGCGCGGAAGGGCAGGGCGAGGGCGAAGGAACTTGAATTTGACCCACTGGACACTAGGGAGCCCTGGGAAAACTGAGCGGGAGCGGACGCGATGGGATCTGTGTGTGTGAGTTCTTCTGGGGGGAAGCGCGAGAGCCGCGCGCTGCTGCCCGGGACTGAGGGGCCCGACCCTGCTGTTTGATACCGGGGGTCTCGCGCTTGCCGGTCGCCTTCCTCGAGCGCCCGGCCCCTGCACAGGCTCGCGCACACCTACTTCAGGGGCTCAACCTGCGTGCTCTAGTCCCCCGAAGGGCTAACGTGGCCCTTCTCCAGTCTCCCTCACCTATCTCGATGCTCCTTTCACCCAATAGCGACTTTCACTCCCTGAAGTTTATAGAACTGTGGTTTATTTACTTGTTTTCCATCTGTCTCTCCCTCTGACATGCCAGCCGCGGAAGGACAGGGAACTGGTCCCTTCTGGTCACTGCTTAATCCACTGTCTCTGACAGCAGGTGCTTAATGAACGGGCATTGAAATAATGATTTCGTGAGACAGTGGTTTAGCATATTTTAAAGATTTATTTATTTGTGCACACAGAGCTGGGCACAGGCCAGAGGCTCAGGGGCGGTGAGAAGATTCACCAGAGACAGAGCGGGGAGCAGAACAGGCAGATCAACGAAGCACACTGCTGAGGGGAGCAGCGAGTGGTCAGGAGAGGTCTGCCTCGCCATGCCGGTCACCTCCAGGCCTGATTGAACTCATGCTGAAGTGGCTTTGGCTTCTTAGTGCTGCGCCACCAGGGAGGGCCCTGGTTTAGCATTTTAACCCCTGTATGTACTTTTCCCGTCTCCAGGGGAGATTCATTCCAAATCCCCAGTGAATCCCTGAAACTGTGTGTAGAACCAAGTACTTTGATTTTCACTTCACGTGCATATGGTAAAGCTGAATTTTTTAAAGATTTGTTTATTCATGCATACAAGAGCTGGGGTACAGTGCAGGGGGGTGAGAGGATTCCTCAGAGACAGAGTGGGGAGCAGGACAGCCAAATGTACTGAAACACACGGCTGGGGGGGTCTGGGGGGAGCAGCTGCCATCAGGAGAGGTCTGTGCCCTGGGGGTCACCCCCTGGCCTGGGATCCAACTGTGCTGCGGGGCTGTGGCTTTAACCCCTTGCACTGCCAGGGAAGGCCCAACTTTCATTTCTAAGTTAGGCACAGTAAGAGATGAGCAGCAACACAATGAAGCAGCGACAGGGCCTCCCTGCTGGCGCAAGGGCGTCTCACAGCCACTGTGCCCGACACGCAGCCCAGCCCACAGCCGGCCACAGGGCGCGCAGACCTCTCCGGCCTGGCCTGGCGCTTCCAGGGGCTTCATGGTCGCCCTGCCTGGGGAGGCTGCTCCTGGTGTCTAGTGGGCGGTGACCTGGGAAGTTGCCTCCGCAGCAGGGCAGAGGGCAGAGGGCAGCCCCCACCAGAACTCCAGCTCGCAGGGGAGCGTGGTCATACCCTCCCCCAGCAGCCCCAGCACCCCCTGGGCTGCAGCCAGGCACAGCCGCATCCTCCCTCTGCAGCGCCCACTGCCTTGTCTGAATGATTCATCGCCAAGTGTGACTGCAGCTGTCTGAAGTACAGTTCAGGACACTGTCTAACAGTGGAGTTTCATCCTGCTGGCTCACAAAGGGAAACAATTTATCTTTTAAGCCTCTTAGCCCCCACTTTCCAGTCTACCCGCTTCCTCTCCTCACAGTAAGTCTATTGCACAACACAGGCTGTTTGCTCCCAAGTGTTCCAGGGTCGGGTGTCGCTGATTTCCCAGGTCTGGTGTTGCACCTCCCGGGGAGGACTGAGTCAGCTGACGCTGAGATCTGGAGCTGGGGTCAGACATGGGAATTGTTTTTCTTTTTAAAGATTTGTTTCGGGGCCCTCCCTGGTGGGCAGCGGGTTAGGGCACAGCACTGTGAGCTGGCCACGGCCTCTGTAGTGTGAGTTCGAAACCCTACAGGTGCCCTAGAGGTGACCTATGGCGCAGCAGACCCCTCCTGACCCGCCCGTGGCCCCCCTCAGCAGTGTCCTTTGTCCATCCGCCTGTTCTGCTCCCCACTGACTCTGGGGAATCCTCTTGCCGCCCCTGCGCCTCTAGCCCCAGTTCTGTGTGCATAAATAAATAAATATTTTTTTAAAAGATCTGTTTCATTAATCATGCATACAAGAACTGGGGTGTAGGCCAGAGGTGTGGTGGGTGAGGGGTTCCCCCAGAGTCAGAGTGGGGAGCAGAGCAGGCAGGTCCACTGAAACCCACTGCTGAGGGGCGCAGCGGGGAGACGGGAGAGGCCTGCTGTACCCTGGGGGTCCCTCCCTGGCCGGGGATCGAACTCATGCTGCAGTGGCTTGGATGGCTTCTTAGTGCTGAGGCTTTAACCCCTGAGCCACAAGGAGGCCCCAAGGGGCGTAGTTTTACAAGCAACTGTCTGCCCACACTCCGCCCGCGAGTCCTTGTGATGGTCTGACGAGGAATCCTCAGGAAGAGCTCATAGAAACTAGATCGCCTTTGTTCTCACCCCCTGATGGCTCTGTGTCCTTTATGATGGAAAGTCAGTTTTGCAGGATATAAAATCCTTAATGCACACTTTCCTCCCTAGAATATTTTTTAATGTTTATTTATTTATGCATACAAGACAGGAGAGGTCTGCTGGGGTACAGGCCAGAGGTGCTGGGGGGTGAGAGGACTCACCAGAGAGAGCGGGGAGCAGAACAGGGGGATCAGTGAAATCCACTGCTGAGGGGAGCAGTGGGCGACAGGAGCTGTGCCACGGGGTCGCTCCCTGGCCGGGGATCGAACTCGTGCTGCAGCGCCGATAGCTTGACCCCTGCGCCACCATGGAGTCCCCATATCTGGAAATTAATTGAAATCTTACATTAACCTCAAATTCGGAGTTTTCTTCAGAGAGGCCACACCCTCCTCACTGTGAGGTCCCCAGGCAGAGACACAGCTGCTTTTCTCCAAGGAGTGCCTTTGGCATCATGTGCTCGCTTGTGGCGCGCGACCTTTCCTTTCAAATTTATTTTTCAACTAAGATACCAAAAGGAGTCATTTTTATACACGTGTGACACTCAGCCAGTGAGAGCAGAGCCACCCAGAAGGTCACAGGCCACGGACCAAGTGGTCTGGTTTTGGCGTGAGCAAGGTGAGTGTCTCAGAGGGGGACGCAGCCATGAGCTGCTGAAGAAAGTTCTGGATTCACTGAGCCCAAGTTCTAAGCTTGGAGTCCAGCAAGCCGTCCCGGTGTCCCTGGGCTCAGCTTCCGCTCCTGTGGCTCCCTGGCGCTCTGCCTCAGTTTCCCTGGCGCTCTGCCTCATCGTCTTCTTTGCACTTCAGCCTGTGCATCGGCTCATCCTCCACAGGGCTCCATGGCTCCGAGGTGTCAAAGAAGTTGCTAAGGCCGAGAGTGTGCACTGCGTTTTCTAGAAACACTGCATGGGGAAGAGTGAGATGAGGGAAGTGGGAAACGGGAGGGGGCCAGGTGGAGATGAGACAGGGCTCCGGCCTGGACAGAACTGTACCCAAGCTGAGAGATGAAGGAGAAGGGAGAACCAGTCTGGGGCAAGGTCACTGCCCTGCCCTTGCTCAAGCCCGCTCACGGCCCACCTCACCAAGCGGAAGAACCCAAACCCCGACGAGGCCCACAGGGCTCAGCTGCTGCCGTCAGCTCTGCCTCCCCCGCCCCACCTCCACCTAGCTCCTGGCTGAGCCCCTCGCAGCCCTGCCCAGGGCACCTGCTACCCTTCTGCCCGGTTCTCTTCCTGCAGAGACCCAGGGCTCCCTCCTCCTCTCCTTTGAATACTTGCTGAGATGCCATCATGAGGCTTCCCGGGCCACCGTTTCCTCCAGCGCACTCCGGGTCCCCCATGCACGGGTCCCCTTCGCCCTCACAACCTCACTCAGCCTGTGTGTTCCCTGGTTGAACTGTCTTTGTCACTGCCCGACCCTCAGAGACTGGAACAGCATTGGGCGCACGGGAAGTGCCCAGTGGACACGTGGTCAGTGAATGAAAGGTGGAGCTCCGTAAAGACCAGAGTTTCCAGGGGCTCTGGAAGCGGGCGCCAGCCCAGCCAGTCAGCCGGGGATGTGACATGTTGGCTGGGGCGGG